TGGAGGCCATAACTTCAACAATTTGTAACCTAGGAGAAAAGTTATTGTAAGCTTTTTTGTTTAAAATTTGATGCTTTAACAGAAAAAAATATAATATACAGGGGTTTCCATTTAAAAAAATGTTATTTTACTGAAAAAAATCAAAATAACGACTCTCAATTGTTTTTTTTTATTTCTCATTTTTACCAGCGTTAAAAATGCTACTAGTTTGCTAATTCAAACAACTTTGTATTTTCACTAATAACAAAGTTACTAATGGTGGACACTTAATTTGGATAACCCTGTATATAAGATCGAGCGCGAGGGGAACGAGGCATCAACCATCAAAGAAATTGTTGTGAAGATTTCTCACAAAGTTGGGGTGTGTCGCGCATCAGTGTTTAATGTGTTAAGACAATACAAAAAAAAATCACACCTTTTCTGAGCCAATGACCAGTAAACATCGCAAAAGTATTGTTAAATCATTGGATGAAGCTGATAAGCATGCGATTAGGAGGAAAGTGCATGAATTCTTCTTTAGGAATGAAATACCTATTATAGATAAAGTACTGCAGGAGGTAAATGGAGATTCAACGTTGCCAAATTTCAAACGATCAACTTTCCATGCGTTACTGAAGCATTTAAATTTCAAATGGAAAAAACGGGGTCGTAATAGTTTATTACTGGATAGAGAAGAAATTGTGCTATGGAGGAGGGATTATTTAACAAAAATTGGGAAATATAGAAATCAAAACAGGAAGATTTATTACCTTGATGAAACGTGGGTAAACGCAGGACACACTACAAGTAAAGTATGGGTTGATGATTCTGTAACTTCATGCAGGAGGGCCTTTCTAGATGGACTGTCCACCGGATTAAAAAATCCAGCAGGTAAATACGAGTAATAGACAACAATCGGATGTTTTTCAAACCTTGGGAACAAGGTTCTAAACATTAATTCCAGGGGGCAGATAAAACATCTTACAAGTAACAAAACTTTTATAACTTTCGATAAAATGCGTGGATGTTTTATTGTCATTTTCATTTGTTAGAACTTTTTTAAGCCATGTTTTTATGTGTTTTCGTTATTTCAATAATTTTTTAATATAATCTTAAAATATGTCGAATATTATAAACTTAAAAAAAGTTACTAAGTTTTATATTGAGTACCGTTCCTAATATTTCTAATCATTTTAATTCATATTTTAAGCTTTATAAAGTTATAATTTGTTAATATTAATATTTGCGCGTATTTCATGTTCCTGATCATTCATTTAAGGTTTATAACTTTAAATTAAATTGTGAAGCGCTGAGTAATCATACGACGTTCAATATTCTTTCTTTCAATATGACTAAATAATCCCAATTATAGCAATCTGATACTCATGTCTCAATGTTTTTTCGCTGAATGTGATGAAAACATTTGAAAAAGGTTCGCTTATTGAAATAAATCTACACCAGTTAGTACTTCGATTTCCAGGTAAAGGGAAAAGGCTCATTATCTGCCATATTGGCAGTGAGGATGGATTTGTTGTTGGCGGTCTGTGGTGCTTTGAGTCTAAGAAAACTGGAGATTACCACGAGGAAATGAATGGCGAATCGTTTGAACAGCGGTTTTCAAAAATTTTACCGAACTTAGAGGAAAACGCAGTAATTGTGTTGGATAATGCGCCTTATCATTCTCGAAGAATGGAGAAGGTCCCAACAACGGCTTCAAGGAAAGTTCATGTTCAAAATTGGCTCCGCTCGAAAAATATCAACTTTGAAGAAGCAATGCTGAAAGTACAATTATTAAGAATTGTCAAGGATCACAAGGCGGAATATCAAAAATACGCCATTGACGAAATGGCAGCAAGTCAAAATAAAACTGTGCTCCGTTTACCTCCATACCATTGCAAGCTCAATCCCATTGAGCTCATATGGGCAGAGGTTAAAAATTATATAGCTAAGCACAATACAACTTTTAAATTTTGTGACCTCAAAGGACTTTTCAAAGAAGCACTAGAATTAATAACAGCGCAAAAATGGGAAAACTGTATTAAGCACGTGAAAGACAAAGTTGAAAAGAGAATGTGGGAACTGGACAATATTTTAGAGGAACAAGTCGAGCCATTCATTATTGACGTTGGTGCTTCAGGCAGTAGCGATGATGAAAGCTCATCAAGCTCATCTTTCCAATAAAAGATGTCGTTCATCAAATTCGATAAGTTATAAGTAATTATAAAGCTACTGTATTTTTTAATTAATTATTGACATTTTTGAACCTATTCAAGAATCTACTTTCTGACAATGTTCAACCATGCACATTTTTTACGTTTTGAACGTTTTAATTTGGTTACATATTTACCTAGAAATCAAAAAATATACTAATCAATATTCTAAAAGCAATTTTAAGAGATATACGATTATTTTTAATTTAGGCTAATTTAAACGCCATTTTGAGATTACATTCGACTATATTTCACCAAACATCAGGCGGCATCCGAAGCTGGAAATCGAAGCGAAAATTTTGAAACCCTTATCTATATTTACATCATTATATATTTCTTACCCCACCCCCACATGATCCTATATCCATCACCAATCGTATACACATCGAATTGTGCTAATTTACTACAAAGTTACGCAAAGCAGCATCTACGAGTACTATCTAAAATATGTACTGCGTGACTCTTAATACGTCCCTGCCGAATGTTACAGCGTTCGATGATCACGTGGTCTTGTTTATGTCCGGTCTATCTCTTATCTGAATATACTGTAGTTAGGTATTGAGCTGTCATTTATCATAACTAGATAGTGTTTAAATAAATTTCTTTATTGAAAAAATCCGATAACCATTTTGAGCCAAAACTTTTAGGATATACGTTACGTGTACAAGTACGCTCTGATTATATAAGACCGTAAGACCTTGTCGTTCGACATCAACAAAGCTTCTGGTTCGGACTTGATTCCTGCCGTTGTATCGAAGGGATATGCAGCGGAGCTCTCGTGTCTCTTCTAGATATCTTTCGAATCCAGCATTTTCTCAAAAAACTAGAAATTTGCTCATGTCCTAGCCATACCAAAGATAAGGATCCAAGTCCTATAGCTTTGCTTTCTGTTATAAGTAAGGTGATGAGGAGATGCATAAATCGGGAGCTTCTGAAGTACCTCGAACGTCACGGCTTGATTAACGACAGGCAGTATGGTATGGCACCAGCGATCCACAATCCTCCTATCTTACGTCACGCAACTGTGGAGTCTTATGGAGCGCCTCATGTCGCTGCTCTTGACATCTCGAAAGCGTTCGATCTCCTATTCAAACTTCATCCTAGGGCCTCCCAGAAAAGCTTTGCAGATGGGTGGCTGACTTCCTCTTTGGTCGCAAGATATCCGTCTTAATTGATGGGTTATCTTCTTCATCCCACAACGTCAGCATGGTTGTTCCCCAGGAACTGGTCGTGGTTCTGACATTGCTTCTCTTAAACATCATCGACCTCCTTTCCTGTACGGTCTCTTCTATCACTAATCCAACGGCCTTTGCTCCTCAGAACTCTCCTCTATGACGTCGCCGCGGGATGTGCCTGCCACACAGACCCACTGGTGCAACGGCATTTAGGCTTCTGCCTGCGTGGCTGCTTAGGAGTGAAAAAATACAACTTGATAACGCCGCGTCAAATGCCATACGCCACACTAGACGTATACATATTAGATCCAATTTTTCATAGTTGGTAATCGCTTCTGATGCACAATGATGGAAGTTTTGCAAAATGTAATTCTCTACTATTATTCATCCCACAGAAAATTGACGATGCTGTACTAAACCTGTTGCTATTTCAAATTAAACGGATATCACCAGATATGAACTCATACATTGGCATTTGTATTCAAAAGCGTCGCCCCTGTGAATAATGTTTATCCCCACACAGAACGCATGGGGGTTTATCGTCCCATCTCAATTTTGTCATTCGGAAAGGAACAAAAAATCGATGGAGAACGTCCCCCTATTTTTATTGCTTCCGATCTGATGGCCATCTGAATGACGGGCCAAAATCCTCTGAATATAGGTCATAACTTTCATCGAAACGTTTTTTATTTACGTTTCTTACACTTAAGCCTCATCTGATGAGTAGATCTAAATAGAAAGAGCTCGATATTGATTAGAGTCCTTCGCAACATATCCAATCATGGACGTGCTAGCGGCTGCTCATCATCATGATAAGAAATTATCCCAGAGCTAAATTCTTACTCATTTGTCGATGTAATTGTAATCAATGGCCCTCTGTAACTTAATATACTGCTTGACATCTTTCTTCTGTTATGCTATGTTAAACTGCTACCTATCGTGTCAAATTTTACTTTACTCGTAGTTTTGTTACTTCTCCTTTCAATGCCTATTTGCATTTTTCTTTTACTTCCTACACCAACTGGCGAGAAAGTACTGTAATCACGAAAAATCATGTCAATCATTTCCGTCGGTATGTCTGTTCGCTAATCCTTGACCCCTCTACAACTTGTAAAGTACCTACCACTCAGATTTTGATGAAATTGGTCCAGTGGGGAACAGGAAACGAAAACAAATGAATACAGATTTCTGGAAATATTTTTGTTGGTGTTGAAAATTGGGGGTTGGGGGTTGTAAGCGTTACATCTTTAACACTAGTCACAGATGTTCTATCATTAAAAAGCTTGGGGTCCCAGGAACATTGATTAATGAAAGTTCGATGTATAATATGCGGCATAATTTGAAATAACTTGGAATCGTGGCCGTTGCGTGCACGGCGCGATGCTGCAACGCTGCATCGTCGTGGAAGCCACTGCCAAATGCACAATGGCTAACAAGCTTCAACTAGTAAACCTGCTGCAGTGTCGATACTGAAGCACCACTACAGGGTAATATTTATATATTTTATGAATATTTGGGTATTAGGAGTAGGTACCATGCTGTGATGCTTTTGTAAACAATTTGCTTCGGAGAAAAAGGTAGAAGTATAAGTATATCCTTGTTTTCATATTCATAATGATTACCTTATACTCGCGAGGATATCCTCCAAGAAGAAGTAAAAGGTTGACTGGTATTTGTATCATGAGCGACATGTCCTAACTTGTTCCAGCTTGTAGTTGACGTGGGAGTTCGTTCACTCAGCATCACTGACAGTTGTACTCCAGAGCTTACGCAGACCGTTCCGTATTTTTACTGGATACAGTTTTTGATCAAATTAATAAACATGTCATCCTCACGTATTGAGGAAACTATACAAAATAATGGCAACGACCTGCAGTTCATCGCAGATGAATTTGCCATTGCTCCCATTATTTTGCAAAAGTCACAAGTTCCAAGAATAAAAATGAGAAAGGACGATGCCTTGAAGGAGATGTTGAAAAAATACGAATCAACTTTCGGTAACCCATTAGATAGTTAAGGCTTATCAAAAAAAATCAACAACATGAAATCAATATTGAAGAAAAAAAACAGATATAAAAAAACTGGTAATAAAGCAATTAAGTTGATAGATTGGGAAAGAAAGCAGCTGAAAGCTATGGAAGGTGACTGTAATCCTACAATTGGGAAAATTAGAGGTGTCATTGAGGTTGGTAGTGTTCAAGAAGAAGGAAGTGAACTATATACCGAACGCAGTGAGCAAACAGTTAGTATTACAGCGCCAGCAATTCAGAAGACATTGCCACCAAAAAGAAAATTAGCAACAGAGAAATACGAAACTGAGGAAACCAAAGGGTTAAATACAAAAGCATTGCAACGTCTAGTGCTATTACAGCAGTACCAAACAAGTATTTTACAACAAGATTATTATAAAACAAAATTAGAAATGATGCAGCGTCAGAAGCCACCTGTAACTTATTATGTTCACGAAAATAAAACTTATTATAACTTATAAATACACTCTCATCAGTAAAACTATTTATTATAATATGCAAGTTCCTTCCTATTTGTTGACCTAGTTGGCGGAGAGGAAGTTAATAATTCTCATGATTTCCTTTATCTTCATCTGGGTCTTGTTCAACTAACTCAAAGTCAGGATCGACCAAGCTCTTAGCAACATTATGGAGTATAATACAAGCAATAATTATTTTCGGTACATTTCACAACTTTACGCGGCAAACATACTGTAGGATAGGAAACCGGCATTTCAGTTGGCCGAAACAGCGTTCAATTATAACTCTTTGTTGTTTTAAAAGCTTATTATAATTTATTTCTGCACCTGGAGTAGGATTTCTGAAGGGAGTCATAAGGCATGGCTCAATACCATAACCGAAATCGCCAAGTAGTACATTTGCTTTATTTATTAGTTGTGATCTAGTCTGTGAATTTCTCCATATTCTGGAATCATCTGACATAACACTTGTGAAAATCTCTCTGGCATCACAAGTGGCTTGCACATTTAAAGTAGGTTTCCCTTTTCGGTTGATATACTCATCTCCATGGCGATTTGGTTTCAGGATTCCTATATGTGTACAATCAATTACACCTATTGCTGTCGGAAATTTATACTTGCTTTGCAATATCCGCTTGGCCTCCGTCAGTTCATGGTTGGAAACTTGATCCATTCGTTCGGCTGTGTAACTATGCTGTTCACAACTCTATCCACAGTCCGAGATACCGTTGCTTGACTAACACCAATTTCCTGACCAACACTTTGTTGATATTTGTGGTCACCGAGATAGCGTCCACCTTTAGTTACGAAGTTGAGTCTGCTACTGACCACACTCAGAATTTTTAAAGGATATGCTTCCTATGCCAAGTATAAGGTGAAGATTATGAATATCCTTTTACTTATGTCACCGCTTTGAATGTAGTGTAAAGTGTAGGTCATACGTCTTGCATTGGTTGAAAGGAGATTAGTTTCGGAGAAAAAAAAGCAATATTCAAAGTAATGCAATAAATGGTAATGGTAATAAATATTTTGATGCAACAATATGTAAATGTCAATGTCTCTCCAGTCTGACAGTATCACGTCTGGGTCACAATGCGAAGAGATGTAAAATTTGTACTGTTATTAACCCGAGAAAGGTTGGTTTTATCCCTAAACTGATAATTGAGTTTGCATATATTTCTATGTCTATGAACCCTAACATTCTGAAAACTTGACAACTCGCATTTTTTGGAAAAAAGTTCTGAAGAAAGTTTTAGGATAACAAACGTAATTTGCCGATGGCGCCAAATGTGACCCAAAGCGATCTCTAAGGGAATTTTCACTCTACCGCTAACTGTGATGAAATAACTCACAAAAGAAATTTGTTTGCTTAAAAAAGTACGCCACCCCAAACCGTGAAAGCTGGATCTAATTATACCTGTCCCTAAAATCATAAATCCAACTGAACATAATTATTTTAGATCAATTAGCTTTTGCCTTCAAGAATTCTAGAAAAATCTTGCAGGAACATACGGGATGCACTTGAAGTAAAACAAAACACAAAACAAATCCAAATCAAGATGATCACGTTGAGGGGAAGAATGTCGAAATGCAATAAATGCACGATGGCAAATGTACTATTTCTATAACCTTATCCATCTCGGTCGGACGAGTGACTGAGCGTTTCCGCATCAGACATCTCATGTCAAATTGAATCTGTCAGCTTCTCATAACAGCCGCGGTGTCTGGCATTTAGACTTTTATCTACGCGGCTATTTCGGCTTAAAAAACTACTGAAAGTACTTTATCCCGCAAAGATTTGATGAGATTTCGTTATCTGATTATTCTCACTTGAACAGATCAATCGCATCATCTCAAATCTGCTCCAAGTCTGAATGGCAAAATCCTGGACCTATCGATTTCATTGCCAGCGTTTCTCCGTGCCTTATCCACTTAAAATCCCATAATCCGAAAGATAATTGAATATTTCTACCTTCAAAGCATCCGTCGAGTAAATTGCGTTGACGGTAAGTGGAAAGGCCTCCTAAGGCTCTAACACAGTTAAAAAGCGGCGTTGTCTTTGCACTCCAATGCGCGCGCCTGGTCGGGGCCCAGGCCTCTCTGGACTTAACATAGTTAGCTGCAAAATTAAACAGAGTCGGCAGAGACAGAGGTGAAGTATGAAAGCTGCAGTCTACAGTAATTTCATAGGAGTCACTTTGGATGAGTTTTCGTATTAGAGCTACAGAAGAGCAATTTAACGGTAATACTAACATGATAGTCAAAAACTGGAGCTTACAGTACATGATAATTTGTATCGGTATTCTATTGGACTTAGTAACTAAATATTTGTACGCAACACGTTCCACCACGAAGACTCAAAGATAGGAAGATACAATTCCATATATTGGCTTATACTGAATTAGAAAACGAATTTCCCATAAGGAGCTATCGTAACACCAGTTCAAAATAATTTGGTAATTATCAATTTATGCTGTTTCAAATACACCGAATGTGTCAAAATGTAAAGTAGTAACAATTTGTAGGAAACCAAATGTTATGCACAGTTATGACTATAGTATTAATCATGTAAGGTTAGAAAGGAGTAACGGTTATAAAGACCTTGGTATTACATTTGATACCAAGTTCACTTTTAATGGTCACATGAATAACATTGTCAGGCTTCTTGAATGTTGAAACAATTAGGCTTCTATTGCCAAATTCTTTCACTGTGTCGAGTTTCTTTGCGACTTTCAGAGATTCTTACCATTCTGACCTATATTTCATAATAGGCTGTTGAGTGAGCTAAAGAACGGGGGTTACTTCCTAGGACAAAACAGTGCAATGGGCACAGGACTACGATGAAAATGCGATTTGGAGGTGTGGCCAGAAGGTTTTACTGTACTAATCTACCTCCTGCCCTACGATAGTGCTGGCCAAAGGCACTTTTTGAAATATGCCGTATGCCCTTCACAAAAATACTTAGGTTATTTTTTTTTTATTATAGTATTCATACATTTTTGGTGGACCTTATTAAGAGTGAAGCTGATATTACAAAGTATACCTAACTAAATGTAATACGTATATGTATATATGAGAATTTACTAAAAAAGAAGCTGTTGCTTGATACTAAATAATGAAAACATAACAATGATAAACATGGCAGTCAGAAAAAGAGATTTTTGAGATTGTCATTGAACAGTTGTTTTGTAATTTGATGAAATGGTCGTTGATCATTGTTCAACTGTGATGTTGGACTATGATATGTTGGGTGGAACTGGCGACGTGGTCCAAATTGACGAATCAAAGTCTAGTAAGCGCAATTATAACCAAGGTCGCAACTTCAAAGTCCACTGGGTACTAGGACTGATTGGAAAATCGGGAGGGGAAAATTTCAGGATAATGGAGTTGCCGGAAAGGAATACCAAGCTGCATAACCCCATGAAACAACGTTATTCCCGTCCTTTATCTGGATATCTTTAGCGTAGCGAGTGTCGCTATCACGGAATTGATTTTTCGCGTTCTTATTAGAAGCTAAATATCAGTTGTAAATGCAAAAGGTAAAAATCGTCTTTTTCAAGGCGCATTCTTATGATGATTTACTGAAGAAATTGGGAAGTTATTATCGATCGCCTGCAGACATTGACATTGAAACAAAACACCTCTATACAGTTTACCAATTAAATAACACCATTTACGATATGTATTTTGAACTGTTACTTTAGCTTATTACATGGCTAGTTTTGAACATTTTTTACAAAAAAAAAGTTTTCAATAGTATGTCGAATTCTACTGATGTCTTTGATTTTTCCCGAGGAAAACAAAAAGTGCGGTCCTTATGCGCTAAAGTGCGGTCTTACCATCTATTTTAACAAACCTTCACACTTCACAATCCAATTAAACTAATCGAGCCAGTCTCTGCAAAAATGCATAAAGGTATCACATCCACCATTTCCTCCACAAACGGTTGTAAGTATTTACAAATATGGTGAAAGCGCCTACTCATTTGGAACACGAATTAATGTCTCACATTCACCTTTTTTGTGTTCCATCATTTGTTCTGTATGCTCTTATAACTTCACAGTACTCACCTGATCTTAGGCCTTAGGCTTTCATGTTAGCTCAATGAGGTACCAAAAACAATACAAAAGAATATCAAAAAAATGTTACATTTTCCATAAGAAGGTTCACCTGCCACCAACTTTATATTGTTAACCTGCATAGAAAGCACATCCGATCCTATATCAAATAAATCGTTTATCTTTTAAGCAATATATTCCCAGCAATATTTCGTATTCGGGGCAATACGGAGCCTTGTGTGAATTTTATTCATGGGCAAATAGCACGCACCGTACTTTGTGCCACCCACCCCCACATCTGAATTTTATCATTTCCAATGGGGTGCAGAATCGATCGGAACGTTCCGTCACATTTACTGCCCCCAAAGGACGTCTAAGCGGGATGGCTGAATTGGAGGAGAAATCTAGGTCGGAAAACCGCAAAGTCATGTTTCTTGCGATCGTAGGATTGCGATGATCAGAGAGGAGGAATCTATAAGTTATATCAGTCAATAGCGCGGGAAAACATAGTTTCGATCAATATGCGCGACATTACTAGACAAGAGCAGTTTTGGAAAATGCAATAAGCTCGACTGCAGTAACTGCAGAGAATTAATTTTAAGCTGTGCTATCAAGAAGGAATCGAAGGATCCCTAAAAATTTAAAAATCTATCAAGCTGTTTGGTCTGTATTAAAATCCGCCATTTTGGCTTCATGAAATAAAATCAATTTTGTCTCTCTGGTCACCGAAATAGTCGATCAAAGCACCGTTCACGCTTTGCTATGCAGGTTCAGCACATTCCTATGGTGGCGCGATTCTGGGCCTTACCATGTAAGGGATATGTAGCAACACATCTCCACACCAGAGATAAACCCTTCTAGAGATGGGAAACTTCGATACTAAAATAAGTTACCGTATTTCTTCGACCTCTGGTGGATTGGTCTTACACCAGTGCTGAATAATGGGACTTTCCTGAATACTGGGACTTTCTTGATTAATGGACCTTCCCACATTCTGATACGTATTGTACGCCCAGAAAGTTGGCTATACGAAAGAATACGGGCAAAATTTTTTGAAAGATTTTGCAGATTACCCAGTATTTATATTGTGTGATCTGCAAAACCCTTCGCCAATTTTTTTGCTAGCATTCTTCCGCAAAGCCAACGTTTGCTGGGCGTACTAGTGAAATGAGGAAATCAACAAATAAAATAAATGATTATTTATTAATGTATTTATATTGCAGATTTTTTAAATTCAGAGCGATTGTAGATTCTCACACCTCTTATTATTTGTTAAACCTAGATTACTTCAGCCTGCCAGATAGTAACTTTTTACTGATATGTTAAATAGACCAGTATTTCCCAACTCCGTATTTTGTATATAATGAGTTAGCGCAAAAATTTACATTGCTCATCAAAGTAAATAAATTATAGTCCAAAAAAATATGTTGGGTGCTACTATAGGGTGTTATCGATGAAAGTGCTATGGTCAACATTACTAATATTATGAGCAGTACCATGGCAACCATTTCTTTGGCCTGCCTAATGACAGGATCATTGTTGGACGAACGCAAGTCTCTACCACTCAGAGCTCTATTGATACCGACTGCCCAGTTATGACACAGAAAGATAATAA